CTCACATCTGTCTTCCTGTGGTGCTATATCTCCCCTTCCAGTGCCACAGTGTTGTTAAATGCTTAAGAGAAAGGAGCATTTAAAAAATAATTTTCCTCAGCATTTATTTCAATGCTCTCTGCCAAAGTCTCAGGAGTGTATAAGGTACATTCTGAAATTTGGCTGGAATTCAATTCAATTTAACAAACATCTATTAAGCAAAGGTGCAAATATTTATATTTGAAGTCTTACATTCCTAAAATAGACCTCCTCCCCTTTTTTCCAATTCTCACCTATTGAAATTGCTTCCTTTATTTAAAACCCAACTTACCTGCCACCTCTACCATGAGCTTTCCCTTATCCCTCCTAGGTGATCTCTCACAGTACTTTGCCTGAACATCAACATCAGACACATCTTATTGTCTCATATACCAAAGACATTTGCTTATGTCTTCCTCCCAATATATTGCCACTTCTTTGAGACCAGGATCTGGGAATTAATTTTCTCCAGTTCTAAGCACAGAACTTTGTACATAAGAGGAGAATAATAAATGTTGAGTGAATTAATGTCCTACTGTTAGGTGGTAGGGATTAAAGACGAATATTCCACAGGCTCCACAAAGATACTCATACTAGTACTAGGCTTTTTCTCTAAGCAGCATCATGGATTCTCAACACACTTACATGATCTCATTTGTGTACCACAGTTGAAGTGGTAAAGAAAAGACTGGGAGCTGGTGTCCCCATTTTTTGTGGATGAGAATTAGGTAAAAAAGTAAACAGACCTCTTTCTTTAAATTTAGAGAGCCTGAGTTCCCTTGTGCTGATATCTTCATTCCCAGTAGAATCCTAATAACTATGCTTTCACAGAATTAGAGAATCAGAATAACAGCATTTTAATGTTGGGAAGCACTACTCAAGTTGAATATAAGGACCCGTATTTGGCCTAAGGCCTTACAAATCAAATGGTAAAATAATTTATTAGACCAATGTGTAAATAAGAGACAAAATCAAATAACTGAATCATTCTCAGCTTTGCCTGCTATACACAAATAGGTACAATCTCCAACAGACTCTTGTATGAGAATCCACTCTCCAAGGTAAGAAAAAGTTGCATTTTGAGCTGGAATATTTCTCTGGTAGGATTCATATGACTGTAGCTTCTGGCAGCTGACTGCGCTTCGTGGTTTCTTATCAACATTGCTTGCAAGCTCCTTATTGCTATAACTCCTTGCTTCTTCCCAGCCCTCACTTTTTGAAGTGCTGCCTTTGACAGCTTCTTTTTCATTTCTGAAGCTGCTATTTGCTGCTTCTGTGCCAAATTGTTGCTTCCATGTGGAATAGCTGTCCTTTGCTTCTATAGCTTCTGACTCTTCCCTCATAACCTAGCACCCCCTACCTTTCCGGTCTTCCTATACATTACACACCGCCATAGATAGACACACACACTACTAAATCCAGTGACCCTGTATTTGCTAAGACAGGAGAGAAAAGAGCCCAGAAATATTGCCTCTGCCCCATTGTTAATAGGAACTAATAAAGTAAAAAAAAGAAAAAAAATCAAAGGGGCTTCTGTTTTTTGCCCAGTGTCAAATAAAGGAATTTTGGACATTAACCTAAACATAAAATAAAATGAAATAAATCCAGTGACCCTGGCCTCCTTGCTATTCCTCAGATAAGATATTCTGTCTCCCAATCCAGCATATTTTCACTAACTGTCCTCCATGCCTGAAATGCTTCCTTTCCTCATCTTTGCCTCCTGGCTTCCTTCAAGTCCCAGCTAAAATCCCATCTTCAACAAAAAGCTGTTTCTAATCCTCCTTAATTCTAAGACCTTCCCTTTGTTGATTAATTCCTACATGTTCTGAATATAAGCTTATTTGTCCATATTGCATATTTGCACATTGTTTCCCTCATTAGACTGAGCTTCTTGAGAGCAGAGACAATACCTTGCCTTTCTTTGAATCCTCAGAATTTAGCCCATTGCTTGAAACATAGTAGTCACTTAATATCTTTTTTCTTGACTGACTCTTTCAACAGGCTTCCCATCCAAACTTTTTTTTACCTCATACCCAGCTGATGCCCAAAAGGGTTACTCAGGTGACTATCATTATCTTGTTTGCCACCACCTCACAGAAAGCTCCCCAGGCCTCCTTGTAACTAACCCACAGTGACTTAATTCCTTTCACATCTTCCACCTTCAACCCACTCCCCAAAAAGTCTGTACTTTCCACTGAGCTATCTGAAGGCTGAGCATGAAAACATACTCTATTTTTCATTTTTATTTTCAACCCTTATCATGCCTCTAATTGCTAATGCAAATTACCTTGAAAAATAACTAACTTCCAAAGAGGCACTTAACAATACTTAGAGGGGAGAGATAGAGCTGGTGAACTTTGTCTAACATTCTTGCCACCAAGCAAAAGGTGCCTGTCCCTCTTACATAAAATTGATTTTAATATTTTAAGGACCCAAAATTTCATCAGAATCCATCAATTCCATATTCCCTTCATTGATGTCTTCCTCCCTTGTGCATTAGCAGACAGATTTATTAATTTCTGGGGCCCCTTAAACCATCATAAGGCCAAACTTCTAATTATAAGCCTCTCCAGATTTAGGATGGTATTTAGATGACAGACACTTAGGCAGTCTGTAGGCATGTTGTCAAAGCTGTTCCAGCTTGGTAGGATCTACCAGAGGTTATATTTAATTAAACTAGCCTGTGAGAATCTAGGGTCATTTCCACACCGTAGTAAGATATATGAGGATGATTCAGATGGAGTACACACATAGCTGGTACCCTATGAGTACTTATTACTGATGATAATATGAGCAATTCAGAATGGAGCCATGTGCCCTGTGAAGTAAACAGCACTAGTATTATTAACTCCACTTTACAGATGAAGGGACTAAGCTTCAAAAAGGTAAAAAGACTTCTCCATATTCATAAGGCTGACAAGTAGAATATGCCTCTTGACAAGAGCAAGGCAATGAGTCATTCATTCATTCAATTCAATTTAACAACTATTATTATGTGCCTTTAAGTATCATTGTGCAAGATACCATAACATAAGATAGGCATACAAAAACAAAAAAGAAGCAATCCCTGCCTTTCAGTAGTTGTTCATATTCTACTGAAGGCATTCACTATGTACATAGATGATTAGGTAACCACTCTCTCTCCCAAGTGGGGTGTGTGCTGTGTACAGAGGTAGACATGCATTGTGATGGAACAATGCTGAGATAAATACTGTGTATCTGCATAAGGGATTTACTTAATGGGTTCCAGTGAATTTTAAAAAAAGGTACATGTATAGATGACACTTGAAAGAGTTTGTGGATAGAGACACTTTGGCTTTGGAATGGCAGACATGCAGTCTCATCATGCCTCTGGACTTGGCTTAAATTCTAGAAACTACAGATGCTTCAATCACAGAGCTGAAGACTTGGAGAAAAAAGTTCTTGACACTGTGAAGTGGTCCAATAACAGAAAGCAATATGATTTTATTATTGGAAATGACAATAAAGAACTTTTACATTTGAATTGCTGTTGAAACCTTCCATATGTATTTTCTCTTCCTTATCTCTCTCTCTCTCTCTCCTTCTTCGTGTGTGTTCCTCACCTTTCCCATATCCATGCCCTTATACTGAGTGTGTCCCACGTATAAAAGTGACTGCTTGTTCACCTCAGCCTTAAAGAATCCCTCCCCTTCTTTAAGTCATCACTCAAAAAAGCTTCAACAATGAAGCTTTTTTTTTGCTCTCCTCCAACCGTTAATGCTCTCCCTCCCAGGCTACCAAATCACTTTGTATTTATTATCTTTATTTTATTGTGTATATACTTCCACGTATACATGTTGCTCTCCCCATATATGCTGTTTGAATGTAAGAATTAGTTGTATTGTTTTGTTTTTGTATTTGTATCCCCAGTTCCCAGAACAGTTCCTGGCACAGAGAAGATACTTACTAATTCACTGATTGACCCTAAAACGTTATGACTGGAAGTGACTTTAAATTATCTATTCCAATGACCTTGTATTCCATTTGTTGAAAATGAGACCCAGAGACATGAAGTGTTCTGTCAAAGTTAATGCCAATGTCAAGATTACAGCACTGCCTCCTAGTCCAGAGTTATTTTTACTATACCACATAGCATCTCACCCCAAAGCCCATCTCCCTTCTTGAATACTCTAATTTTAAGTTCCTCAACTGAATTATGTAATAAGTCATCTGCCTGGCTAGAAATTGTTTTACATTGGACAAATGGATGAATCTTCAGCTGGATGTGGACACTCTCCGGGAGTTTATGACTTGTATGTTGTTCTATGGCCCATCACAGAACATGCAGAGAGTGTAATGACCATTTCACCAAGATCTTTTCCCTACAATCATTCTCAACTTAATTTCCTCCTTTCCATCTGGTGTTTATTTTCATAATGCTATTGGCTTCCAAGAATCCTAGTATCTTGCCAAACCTTCATTATCTACTGCCCCATTCTGAATGCTGGTACCCAGCACTCTTTTCTGTCAGTTAAAATGTATGTTTAACACCTCATTGGAGCTGACAAACAGGTTGTATCTTTTGGCTTGATGCCCTTCTAATAAACTTGTCTGGGCCCACAAAAACCCAATTTCTAAAGCTAGCACTGGAAGAATGAAAACAAAGGGGAAGTCCAAAGCCATCTACCCTAAGGGGAAATGGAACATCAGGGATGATTGAGTGTTGAAGTAAATAGACCCCTGCACTGTATCAAGAGAATTGAATTCTGTTTTCATCTTTTAAAAAAATTAGCTGTATGTTCGTGAGCAATTTACTTTCCTTCTTTGTTTCCAAATTTTCATATTTATAAAAATAAGGGAGTTAGAAAGTGGGAGAGAATCTTTGAAATATGAAAATCTGAGGGGAAAAAGAAAACTAAAAAGGTAACACATTTGAGCAGCTGGAAAGGGCTTAATGATAATCAAGCGCCTACATTCAAATAGGGGGAAAAGAGATATGTGTTCCTTCAAAATGCCACTAT